TAATAATAATAATAATAATAATAATAATAATAATAATAATAATAATAATAATAATAATAAATAAATAAATGATAATATTCTGTTTCCCCTAATATGTCTTTGAAATAGAATCCATTCATGGAATTACCGCGAGCTGTTGCTTGTAGAGATTGTATGCGACACCTATCAACTGAACAGGACTTGAAGTTCCAACTGCTCCAACACCAACTTCAACGCATCGATCAATTAAGCCATCATCGATTCGCTCACTTTCATTTGCTAGTGATTGACGAACCTCACGTTTTATAATACTTAGGCGACATTTCTGGAACGATGGAAAATATGACTCATTGTCACTGATCCCTGAATCATTCCTTAATTATCCTTAACATCTCCTCATGGCACTTAAATTCGAATGATAAGATGGAAATCAAATTCCTCTCAAAAAAAAGTAGCACAAAGTGGTAAACACAATTACATTGTGTTTTTTTTCACTTGCAATACATTTAAAGAACTTATCGATATCTCATTTCATGTAAACAATAAATTTTTCGTTATTTCAGAAGCTTTAACTTGAATCTGATATTAAAAGAATAACCAAGGATGGTGGGAAAACAAAATGGTTAAGTTGTCGCATGTCAAAAATAGATCGTTCGGGAGTCGACGACGCCTGCAAAAAGATTCAATTAATAAACTTAGCATACGAACTTTCCCATTTGTAATTCTCTTCTTTATTCGAACTGAAATCTTCAAAAGAAATGCTTCTGATTTTGAATCAAAAAGTCAACTGTGAATTTAAAATTCCAAATTCAAAATTCCAGAAATCAGAATTACTTCTACTTCTCTCTTTGACAAAGATTATTCTTTGTTTGTGGAAGGCAGAGGAAAACATTACCCTCTTCTCTCTCTATCTTTTATGGATTGGACGTGAAATGGGGCAATAAACCCATTTATATTTAGTTCTCTACAAAATCTACATCAATATAGCCTGATTCAAATTGATTAGGTCAAAGTTAATATTAAGAAGAAAATCGAAGCAAAAGCCAAGAAACAAAATATGAATGAGTTTAGGTTCATTTAAATGTTGAAACATAGTCGAACTCCGAAAAATAACTGAGATGATGTTTGAGAGTAACCAAAGGATCCTTTCGCATTAATACACTCAGTAGATAATAATTGTAGGGCAAATGATGCCGCGTAAGATGGAAGATATGTTAATATTTCAGGCTGTTGTTATGTTTTCCTTCCTTCAAGTCATGAATCATTCCCTCGAGAATACAGCACAGATCGTACGTCTCACCGTGGATAATTTATGCAAAATTCAGTCTACTTCTCATATATTTGTCAGAGTTGAGACGCAACGACTAGACACTTCATTAAGCTTCAAATTTCTCCAGTCTCAGTGGTGATATATCGTACAAGAAGCTACCCAAACTTCAAAGCAAGAAGCGGTCTGATCAATAAGGAATTTTGAATATCCCCCTTGAAAGGTGAATATGCTTAAGTAAGGTCACAGTCATGAACTGCTGAATAACACCCCTACATGAAAAGCTCAGGACGACAAAACGGTATCAGGAAATTTCCATATGGTCCAACCACCACATGCATTTTTGATAGCATTTAAAAAAATTTTTGCATTTTCCACTTCCCACACGCCTCCACTACAAATTTTATACCTCTTTTATGCTCCATTTCTGCTATAAAATTGAAATCATGAACCTAAGTCCTACCTGATTAACTCAGTATGCAGTTAATCGCGACTACAAAGTGAAACTATCACGAAGAACTCTTTTAATTCATCTTAAAAAATCGAGCAAATACAGTATTACAGTAACAGAAAAAACAGTAATATACAAATTTGAATGTAGTTCAGAGGAGCGATATGTACAAACAAAGACAGACATTATTCAAATAAAAGAACTGAGATTTCCGATAGAAGACCTAAATGCTATAAGAACCGCAGAAAAACAATTAAACGGCCCAACAGCAGCTTGATTTAATCGCCAGTTAAAAAAATCTATCCCAAAAAAAGACTAGCATAGGAACAAAGACTTCAGCAGTCGGATGAAACAAGAAACAAAACATGAAATCCATGCTCAAGAATTTCCTGAAGATTTAATATAGTATAACCAATAGCAAAAAAAAAAACTATAACTAATGGCAAACTAGCCAAAATTTATCAATATTCAGCCATATGGTCTGTAATAGTCTCAACGAGAATTCAAATATCATCTTGACATTCTATAAAATGTTGCATATTTTATAAATTTCTAGAAACTTAGCATATTGTCGACTATATACGTGTTCTGTCTTCTAAGTCAAGGTTTTCTAAATTTAGATGCCAAAATGATAGCGTCAAAAGATCCTTAGATATCAATCATTCATACATGAAATATCATAACAATATTTGAGATCAGCCATTCAGTGTAATACAAAAGATAATGTAAAGCTGATATAAAGGATACATAACAATTATCTACTTTGATTATAGTTGCGCTTCCCTTTATCATAAAAGCAATAACGTTTTCAAATGGAACAAAAAATGCCTTTAAATTGTCATGATATACCAGCATCATCTTCGAAAATTTGAGTAACTTCGTCCAATTCGAGCAGCTGCTCATCCATGAATTTTCTGATTCGTCGCATGCAGACCAATGACTTCTGCATTGGAAATGACGACAATTCTTCCGCGAGTCCGTTAACTGAAAAGCCAGAAATTAAATTGCTTCGAATTTTAAACATAAAAGATGATGCTTGTTTGGAATTATCCAGAATTCAGACCCTGCCCCTTGAATCTGCATCGGAAAAACGACAAAGAAAATCCTTTTACAGAATGGCTTACCAAAAGAATTTATACGCTTCTGAAAAGCTGCATTTTTTCCAGTACTGAGAGCCCGAGAACGACCACCACCAGCCAGAGGACCGGAATTTTGCTGGTGTTTCTATAAGAGCATTAAAAGTGATTTAGAGCTTATTACATCAGTAAGAAAATCAGTGCAAATGCAAATATCTAAAACTGTGATTTCCAAAACTATACCGGAGATATTCCTTCAAAAGATGTGTGCGCGCCAGCAAATGACTGTGCATTTCTGGCAGCAGTATCATTGCCACCGTTCACTTTTACATCACTTGCTGAAAAAACGTTTTTGATATTCTAGTTTCGAACATTTCACAGTTAAGATCAAGAGAATGAAGCAAAGCAAAGCCTTCAATTAAGAGTATAATTAATTGTCAACGAAAACTAACGAACCACCAAGATATAATAGCAACACCTAATCATGTATTTATAACTTTTAATAAAAATGAAATCAAAATCGCTCATAAAAATGTTTAGTCCTTAAGCGAGATACCGCAGAAAGAAAAAGTGAAAAAGCAAAATGAAAGATGTAAAAGAAATAAAAGATGATGCATTTCATAGTTAAGACCAAGAGAATGAAGCGAAGCAAGTCTTTCAATTAGGAGGGCCTGCTTCTTGTACCTTGACATTTATTAAATCGTTACGTAATACAAATTATGAATTTCATGAAATTTTCACAATCTGAATAGTTAACCCAGTCAAATAAATATACAGGAGTATTGAAACAAAAATACTTGAATATAAACCTCTCCGATCTCTAAATATTTAATAATTATGAACGAAATCTACATGAAGACTTACCAGCTGATGAGGAAACACTGCTTTCTTTCCTGTACCTCTGCTCATCATTTTCAACAATTCCTGAAAGTATATCAGAAAAGATAAAAAAATCTTATTATTCTTTACTTTGCCTTTCTCGAAATAATTTCTAAAGTCATAAATTGTACATACCATCATACTCTTCCCCAGCCCCGGCCATACTTCCATCTTGTTCCTCATCAACATAAGCATATGAAACGGCGTTTGAATGAGGCTGTTCTTCCGAACCACAAGCATTTGCAGTAGCCATCATTCTTAGTTCACACAGCTGTTTTTTTCTCTGAATAATAAAATCTAATGTAAACTAAGGAGTGGCAAGATCGTTTTACAGAGATAGTTTTAGATGGTTTCAAACAGTTCATTTAGAACAGACAATTACTAACTTATGTCCTTTTGAAAAAATTATATTACACAGCTTCTTCCGGCTTGTAGTATTTCTCTTACTGATAAGTATATATTTTGCCACTTTTTCTATAATAATTTAACATAATGTCATCCCGCCACTTAAGTGAACTGAAAACAGTCCGTGAGCATTTGGACATGAAAGTAATCCATGGTTTCTAGTAAGGATTAAAAATTTATCAATGTTTGAAGAGCACTGAGAAAGCTGCAAAATCATTGCCATTCAGCAAGAGTAGGCATCAATCAAGAAAATGACACGACAGTATTTTGGAAAGAAGAATACAAGGAAATTAAACAATTTTGGATTCCGATAGTTATCAAGCTATGACCATAAAGAAAAATCTTTTATACGATGTGGAAAAATTCTGCACATCCTAAAGAAAATAAAGGAATTATCGTGTACTGAAAAAAAGTTTAAAAACAATTAGTAAACAATTAGTACTAGTAAACTGTTATTTGTTCGTGATTCAAAAACGAAAATAGCATCATTTCATTCGCCATTTCACAGACTACTCCGATACTAACTGAAAAATCAAAAAAGCAAACTTTCTGAATTTCCTCCCATTCTTTTTGAGTAATTACAGATTCAGAGATATGCCTTGATCTCAGATGCCTCATCAAATTTCCAGAGCACGCGTACGCAACATGTGTGCCGCACATTCTACAATCAGCGCTTTTTCGATTACGGGTGAAATAACGCCAACATGGATGTTCAGTTCCATGTCCGCCTCGTCTTTCAGAACCTTCTTTGGACGATAACGGCTCATCAGCTGATCGATTAACTGATGATTTCAGCTGTAATTTCATCTGCCATGACTGTTCGAGCTCGGTTGCGATCTGAAGAACAAGATTTCGCATTTATTCCTACCGATAGCAAGTTAAAGAACATTAGCATGGAACAATATTCTCAGCTGAAGCGAACTTATCCAACTTTGAGTCTGGGAATTCTAGATGAGGTTATCCTCAATAATCTAACAGTGACGCAGGGTTTATTATTTTAAAATGTCTTAAAATCAAATTCCATACCCAGTTGATGGTAAGAACCGAAGGAAAAACAAAAAATAGAAAGGAGGAGAGCTAATCAATTTTAAAAGTGAAATACACAACTCGTAATGACTGCATAAAGAAAGACAAAAACATGTCAGGTTGAACATAAATTTATCGAAATTACGACTGAATTTAATAGGTTGTCTCAGCATAACGGTGAGTGCAAGGTTTTTTTTTTTCGATTCCTGGAAATTCCTGTCCATTGTTTATGGGAAAAAGATCTGACAACAGCCTATAAATCTTAACCTATACTCCATTTCATAAGCATTTATTATTCCTCTTTAAGTGTCTTCCTATACCGCTCACATGAACCCTGTATGTTAGGTACATCCAATTGTGACAGCCACAACAGACTTCCTATTATAAGTTGATAAATTTATTAAATTTAGATAAAACCACTGCAGAAATGAGACCTATTCCTTCCGTTTCTTTGTTTGCGTCGACTCCCTTGACTATGAAGATTAAAATGTTTTGCAGCAATCCCAGATGAGATCAAAGAAAAAAAGATGACCGCATCATTGTGACATAACCCTGTTTTCAATTTCAATATCCCCCAGGTTTTTTCTTATTCTCACCTATCCCCAATCTGAGCGAGTGATTCTGCCTTAGTATAGTAGAAGCTGGAATAAGTTCTTGCTGTACTACGGTAAAATCACTCTCGAATTCTACAGAGAACATAAAAATTCATTAATCAATCACCAAGACTAACTAAATGCGCTTTACTTTCCAAATTAACACCTGTTTGTTTTGTATGCGAAAAGCGCTAAAAAAGATAAAAAATACACCTGAGGATGACAACTTATAAAATGCTCCATAGCTTTTTGAACATCGATGGGTTTGAACAACTGTGTGCAGACACGACAAACCATAGAATCAAGATCATCAGATTTATGCATATAGTCCCAACATGGATGATCTGGGTCACGATTAGCTCCTGGAATTCCTGATATACGGATGATCGATCATTCAATATTATGATGATAGTGAATCGTCCCGAGAAAAAAATTCAGGCAATATTTTTCCGCTGTAGATGTTGCGTTAACAGAAATAGCTCAAAATATTTGCATCAGAGGCAAAACAAAGCACCCGGAAAAAGTAATTAAGAAGGAAATATTTCACCATTAAATTGAGGACTTTTTTTTCTCTCTTTTAAAGTTATATTAATACAAGTTTCGAGCAGAGGAAAATTCCTTTATTTTTTGTTCTAAACTGCTTGAAATGATTCGCTTACGAAATAACATCACCGATAGTCTAATAAAAGAGCAAATTAAATGATGCCAGTTGGCTGGTTAGAACCGTAAACTCTTCTAAGGGCACTACGACGGTCCATAAGGACACAATGGACAGTTAAGGTAGTTGTAGAGATTGATTGAAGATATAATGTAAGGCAACCAACCATCTTCAGAGTTATCGCTTTGACTGGTAAATTGTTGTGATATTATAGCTGATATATCTGCCAAAGCACTGGCAGTTGCTGTCGCTTCCACTAAGGCGAACGTTTTCTCAGGGTCCCGCTTGATGACAAAGGCACCAGAATCAATATTTTGCTGTTGCGAAGTAAAATTATTTGGACCGAGATCCATCAAACAGATTTCTGGTACTGCAGTAAGCAGTAATTCTCGATGCTCGGTATTTATGAAGACCTCTGTATAGTTAGCATTGCGATCGAGCTAATAACCTGTGTTCTGCGGAAAATAAAGGAATGGAGATTAGAACTGTCGTGGGCTAAAATTCAAAGTCTGATTGTATAACTGATAGAGAAATAGGACGTGGGACCAGACAATACTGCTGCCGGAATCAATGAAATCAGCCAGTAATCTGAGCAACAACATAACACCAGCCAGAGCCAGACACATAATTGCGGCCCGAATAGCTAGCCGGCGTGAAAATCACTACTCCAGCATTGAATTACGATTGTTCAACAGCAGTAACGGACACAGCACTAACTCATGTTGTTTGAGAAATTTGGAAAGAAATGGAAGTAACCGTAATCAATGAAAAGCCGCTAACGACTACTTTCCAGAGCAACTTATAATAACTTCGTATATTCCTTACTATCCACCAAAAGCGCTCATCATCCCTTCCTATTTTGGTGTGTTGGTAATTTGCAAATATGCACATGCAAAGTCATAATTTATAACTATCATAAAACAACAGTAATTTCATTCCATCCAAAGGTGTTTCACTTTCAATTTTAGCACGTTTAAAGCATTACAATAAAAACCGAGGACTTTACATTATAACAAAAGAATGAATTCGACGGAGAAAACTGGATCCGACAAATTCGAAAATTCATAGAATCTGACTTGAATACTACAAGTTTTATACAAAAACTCAATCATTAAAAGTTGAGATTACAGTAAATACGAAGATAATATAAAATATATTTGAGGTAATGGTATGTGTAGCATGCTATATTTACAATATCCCACCGTTAATCAACTTGACAACAATATCGCAAGCAATGGATAATGAAGCTCTATTTTGATATTTGACTACAATAGTTTCTTTAAGGATTATTAGATAGATGTGATTCAGTGAAAACCGTTCAAAATACAGCATAATCAGGCACCATGCAAATATTCAACAAATACCATCACAAAGAATGCAAGTTTCCACAAAACAATAAATAGACAATCAAGAACGTCTAATTGAATTCATAAAAAATCACACAAATTCATATCACATTACCAACAAAACTACCATCCAAGATACTTTTTCGAAAATATATTTGTAAATTTATATCCCTATAGTCAGCTGCCTGATCAGAGTTCTTTATCTTTAACTTTCCCTGTACGCAAAACAAGCTATATATATATATATAATTAGGACTAAGTTACTTCGAATGAGTTCAGAAATTAGTTAAACAAGCATTTAACGTATAAATTACAGCTAGATGACATATAATTTTGTTAAAGAAAGATTATTAAGTAATATTGGTGTCTACTTCTGAATTTTGTATACTTCCTTCCAGTCCAATCAACTTCTCATCCATGTATTTTCGGATTTGACGCATACACAACAATGATTTCTCCATTGGGAATGACACCAAATCTTCTGCCAATCCGTTTACTGAAAAAGTAATATTATTACGGTGATTTCGGAGGAAAATCGAATTTTCGATAAAAAATGTTTATATTTCGAGAATAAAATCATGCGCTTCCTCCTTTCGTCATTTCCATTTGATACAAAGGTCTTTCTTCCTTCCAGGATCTGAACTGCGTGGTAAATAAGCAAAAAAAGTGTTGACTACTTCCTAAAAGAAATTCAAATATATTTTTTTTTTTAAATCTAGAAATAAATAAATCAGAGAAAATAAAATCAATAAAAAGTTATAAGTTACCGAAAAAGCTAATACGCCTTCTAAATGCGTCATTTTTCGTAACCAAAGAGGTTTGTGAAAGCCATGACCCCTGCTGTTGCAATCCCTGAAATACATTCATTTTTAACCATCTTCTGGTTTTATAAGAGTTGTTAAAGCAACTTGTAATATCTTGGTATATTCGGTAATTTTGATATCCTAACAACTATAACAAACTTTAATGACTAAATCCGAATTAAGTGTAAGGCAAAATTGTTAAAAATAGAAAAAGAAAATAGTAAATAATGCATTTGAAATTACCCTAAACTGACAATATATGTAAGTGGTATAAAAATGTTTCAATGGAAAACTATGATAAATATTGACAGGTGAAGGTGATTTAGGTAGATCAGATGAAAACCCAATTGATTGTAAAATCCTGTTTGCCGTTTCACTAACATCCGCTATTTTTGTATCATCTGCAATGGAATGTTCGAGTGTTGCATCATGTTGGTCAGCAGCTGTTTGACCATCAAAATCATCCAACTTCGAATCAGTCTCTAAAAAAACAAAATTAAACATCTGGGATTATAAGATTCTAATAAATTAACATTTATGCATGAAAAAGGAGGATTTCATAATAGAAATGAATCTGAAATGCATTTCACTCTAGAGAAAGATTTTAACGAATATATTAGGCAAAAACAATACCATTAGATGCTGAACCGTCATTCTCATTCCCGTTGCCCTGCTCGAAGAGTTCCATGTTACCTGAAAAGGGCAACCAAAAGTAAAAGAAAGAAAAGTTAACAAATTCTTAAGAGCACATCATTTTTGTCACTAATTTCATTCACCAGGGAAATAATTTCAATAACTTGCCATCTTCCTCTCCTTCGATCCCATCTCCACCTAGGCCCTCATCCTGTTCATCTTCATAATCGTAAGATAAGAAGTTTGATGGTGACTGTTCTTCAGATCCGGATACATTCGAACTTACCTTCAGTCGCAACTCGCAAAGTTGTTTCTTTCTCTGGAACCAATGAATGGTAAAACTTTAGATGTGGTCGGCCTTATTTTGAAAGAAAGTAAAATAAGTGGAAAAACTGAAAGAATAAACTATTTTCGCATATAGATACTTTCGTAAGGAAGAATCGAACGGCAACATTTTCTATTTCCATCAGGATTTCAGAGAATTCTAATACTGCTTCCCAAACCATCTACCGTAAACTTCAAAGCTAACCTTGAGAATTTCGTCCCATTCTCGCTGAGTTATGGCAAATTCTGCAAGATGTCTGGACTTCAAGTGTTTCATCAAATTGCCAGAGCATGCATACGCCACATGCACACCACAAAGCTTACAATTGGAACTTTTTCGATTAATTCGACAGAAATAACGCCAACTGGGATGTTCTGCTGCACGACCACGCCTTTTCCACATACTTCTATCTGAAGATCAAATTGAGATAGTATCTTAATAAATTCACAAGTACAGAGAATTAAGAGTAATTCTATGATTCTGCAAAAGTCAGTGCAATTCATTTACCTCTCTGGATAGCATATCTGCGCTTTACCCTCAATAAAACAACAAAGTTGACTTACGAAATAACGAGGTTTCGGAAGATATGCGGTTGAAATCAGCTTTGAGTTGCAACTTCATTTGCCACGATTGATCAAGCTCAACGGCAATCTAGAACTACTCATAGTACGCATTTATATAATTTGAGAAATGAAATTTCAGGAAGAAATTAAACAGCAATAAATACTATAAGAAATACCCTTATTTTTTTACAATCTCAGATCACAACAGGAATTAAAATAACTTATTCAATCATTTGTCTAACATTTAAAAAAGTAGTCTTGTTTCCCCACAAGAAACCAATGTTAGCGTGAGCTCAGGTGCCTACACTCACTATAGTCAGTAGTCAATTTTCTCTATTCAACCACCTCAGAAAGAAGTTGCTGACCTACCTGTGGGTGACAACTACTAAAATGCTGCATTGCATTCCGGGTATTCAAACATTTTACTACTTTGGAGCATATTCTACAAATCATGCAGTTATGTTCATCAACTCGCTGCACCAATTCCCAGCACGGGTGTTCCGCCACACGACCACGTCTTGGTCCTGAAAACTATTCAGTTTCGAAGATTTTTATATCTTAATCAATTACGAACGACGCATTTTATGTTTCAAAGGGTTTCAATGATGGAGAAAACAGAAGTGAGAGTGAAAAAGGCAGACATAGAAGGATTCAGCTTTAAAAAAACTGAATATTTGAATGTAAAATAGTAATAATCATGCTATGTTTGAGAAATATAAACGACGGTTGACGTTATGAACTAACTTTTGTCGCTCGATTCTGTCATTCCAAGTCTACCATCATTATAATTCTTACTCTGCTGCGTTATGAGAGTGGAAATATCAGCAAGAGTATTTGCTGTAGCTGTTGCTTCTGCCACATCCTGCTCTTGACCGTGCAACTCGTCTTTGATATCACTGAACATGTTCACATTCATAATTGCGAATCTTCAGTTGGTCCTAAGCCTGAAGTATTGAATAAATGAATACACGAACAAGCAGACATTGCGCAACACATGCTAGTTACGTTGGTGTATCACGAAAGCCCTATCTCACTCACTATAATTCACTATAATTCTCGTCATGGAACCTTAAATCACAAAGTGTGATGTGAGATAGTATGAAGTTACTGACCAATGACCAATATCTGAAATTTAAATTTATCGATGACGATGTAGCAAAATAATAGAGGGAAGCAATGAAGGCAACACAGCGGGAACAGCAATTTTACAATTTCCGATGTAACCCAGCGCAAGCGTCCCCTTGGAGCACACTACCTTCCCTCTCATTTTTATTCAATTTCAATTCAATTCCCCCAGCAGGAAGTCACTTAAAGACACATACACACATGCATACACACATATGCAATTACATATAAATCAGAAATCGATAAAATACATTCAGTTCTTGAGTACAACGCTGCTATATATATACACACATGCACACATACATACACACACAACAACACACACACACACACACACAACACACACACACACACACACACACACACACACACACAAACCACACGGATCGATGTCTGAAGATGGTTGATACAATCTGGAAGTGATATTATTGCAAGTTTATTCAAGCTGCTTATATTAGGTGATATTAATGAAGCATTTCTTGTTGTTATTTTTTATTAATTACACGAATCACATGAACAATACAGTATACCTACCGATG